TTCGTAGAATCTGCTTCCTGACATCTTAGAACTTCCTATACAAAGGCGATGTGAGCTCTGCCTCCTCTGATAAATGCTAAGGTAATTTTGTTTGATTTTGATCTAATCAATTTTATTAGCAATTTATTTAACTATCAATTTGATTTTGATTTTATTTTAATTGAGCTCTAAAACAAACAGCAACCCTACAAATAAGACTATTATAACTACAATGTGAGAGCCAACTACAGAACCGATCTGGAGGCTGCGCATTTGCTAATCTAGGTTCCCTGTTTTACGTTAAACCTTTGAAACCTGAATAATAGGAATGAACTTCTCCTTTTTTACTCAAAAATGATGACTAAACGACAACCCCTTTGACTCCCAAGTTTTTCTGATAGAACAAAACTGAGCTCTACTCTTTCTCCCAAAAACATGACTTAACTTTTAAAACTCCCCGTCGGAGCTGACCTCAACAATAGTAATTACTACATACATACGTAATTACTACTTTTGTAATCATGTCAAAACATTGGTTTGAGTATGTCAATTATTCGGAAATAATAGTTAAAAACATTGTTTGTTGCAGATATCTCACTGTTAATACCTCACCTGGACGAGTTATGAACCGTAAATAAAGATCAACCGTACCATCTCAACACTAAGGTGATTCAAGACTCGATAGTGTGAAGGAAGCAGCCATCTGGATTCCCCTGTTTGCAGGTTTTTGGTTACTGTCATACTAAAAGTATTACCTTTATTTTCATATAGGGTGGGTCTTTGACAATCATCCTTTGGATTGAATATCAGCACTTTTACTGAAGAAAGACAGGTTAACCAGCACTGGTTTTTATTACCACAAATTTTGAACAACTGTTAAGCAAGCCCATAAAATATGAACATCAAACAAAGTGATGGTGTTGAATAAACAAAAAATACAGAAGTATTTTAGCCTGGAAAGGTTGTGAACTACAACAAGTAGTCAACAACATCTTATTTTCCTAGAAACAATCCGACATATGGGATTGGGATATATGCAGTTCTTTGATGCTGCAGTTTTACAAAGTATGTAATTGACCATACTTTACTACAAATGTTTATGACGAGCAACACGATTGTTCAATAGCAGACAAAAATTGGGAAAGTAGGGGTATTTTGGCTTGGAAAAGTTATGAAATACTACAATTGGTCAACAATTCCTTCTTTTCCCTGGAACGAACCGACACATGGGACTGTGACAAATTTTTCAGGAGAGCAGTTTGCAGCAAACACTAGTTTAGTGTAGACCAAATATTTATCATGTATGCCAAAACTAGGCATGAATATAAAGTACAAAACATACAAAGTACAGGAACAAAAACAATTACTTGTAAGTTCTTTTTCAGTTGATATACCTCTTGCCCTCTTCTAAACACTGTCTTTTTAGACTCTGTTTTAGGTTTTACAATTGTTGTGAACGACTAGTATTACCAGGGGAATTCGTAGAATCTGCTTCCTGACATCTTAGAACTTCCTATACAAAGGCGATGTGAGCTCTGCCTCCTCTGATAAATGCTAAGGTAATTTTGTTTGATTTTGAAGAATATTCCATTATAGAAAATGAGCTATAACCTTACCCTAAGTGTCGTGGTAAGACCTGGAACAGGGGCTGATTTACCTTTTTGTTTTTAGGTCCCCAGAGGCCAAAAACACCATCTATTCAAATTTACGAATATTATTAAATATACGAATGTTATTTAAACGAATATACTAATAACATTTTACTTTATGATTATGGGACCTCTACTTCAAAAAATTCATCTCTTAGAAATTAGCTTGAATTCAAGCGATAACTATTCATTGGTGATGTAATATATCCCTTTTCTACCAAGCCTAATTATTATGAATAGTAAGTAAACCAGTATTAAGAAGATGAGTAATTGGTACAAAACCACTAAACTGAGATAATTAGATTAGGCATGTGTGGATTTTCTTAGACATATCTTTGTCTAGACATTTTGCTGAGCCGTACTATACTTACTTACTTACTTACTCCTGTGGCCATGTAAACCCAAGGTGGTTTTTAGCCTCGCCAACGATCCGCCTCCATTTTTCCCTGTCTTCGGTCAATTCTTCTCTTTTTTCTTATCTCCCAATTTTCTTACATCTTTCAAGACTTGGTCACTCCAACGCAGTCTTGGCCTTCCTTTGAGTCTTCTACCATTTGGTCTACCCGTGTATACCTGTTTAACTAGACTCTTCCCTTCTTAAAACGTGGCCTAGCCACCTCAATCGTTTACTCTTTATTAAAGCAATTAGGTCTGGCTCATGATATAAGTCTCTCAGTTCACTATTTTTCCTTACCCTCCACACTCCTGCTTCATGAATAGGTCCGTATATTTTCCTTAATACTTTGTTTTCAAAAGTAATTAGCTTTCTTTCTGAATACTTTGTTAAAGCCCAGATTTCACAGCCATATAGTATTATTGGTTGAAGTATCGTCTTGTAAATCCTTATTTTAGTTTTCTTACTCAATAATTTGCTGCTTAATACCTTATTCAGGCCCCAGTAACACAAAAAACAATAAATGATGGCATTTAAATTAATTTATTGCTTAATATTAAATAAGTCAGTAAACTCCAATTCCGGGGAATTCCTCCACAGTTGGCAACACTCCTCCCAATTACCAAGTTGTTATGGAAATGGTCGCTAGCGCTTGATGCTCCAGTGGTGTGTGCCATAACTACACATTACCCCTAGGTTGGCGCCGGAATATACGCTAACCGCAGCACAGCTGACAGTCTATAATTATTTCTTTTTGTCTATGATAATATTAAGGTCATTAGCTTATTTTGTAGATAGGTTCTTGCTCCGTTGAGCTGATCTGTTTCCCGTAAAATGTCCAAAGACTTGATTTAACCAACTTTACGTAAAAAAGGCTTGTCATAGTATTCAAAATGTTGTGAAAGAAGAATTACTACCTCCATGGTAGTACTTTTATATGTCAATGAATAAGTTTTTAAGTAAAAACCAATTTCACCATTTTTATTCACTATTCACTACTTTTTATTCCACACAGGTAACTGAAAGCAAGTTCCTGTCAAATTGAGATATTTTTACTTATTATTTAATACTGTTTTAGATCTTTGTCTGTAGTTTTAGAAAATTGTCTATAGTATATAAACAATAAATAAACACATTATTTGGTATTTAAAACTAACAATTAAAATTACCTGACAGTTCACTAGTGTTGGCCCAGAAAAATCAGAAGAATCGATATATGGTGAAAGAATATTATGGTGAATAAAATTCTAAACTAGGTTGATTGTACAAGAAATGTATTTATTAGTAAGTGTGGTTATTGTCTAACCTCTTGACGTATTTTGTTGTAGGCATATCACTGCGGTGTCTGCGAATGATCAGCAAGGATTTTGATGCAGCTGTATTCTGCCCTAAAGTCAGGCTCCTTGATCTCAAAGGTGAATATCCTAATTGAAACAAATAAATCAATTGTTAAAAGTTGTTACACACATGGATACTGTAAAATGTCTCTTAAGCATTTTTAACATTTTTGCCATATTGAGCTGATCTGTTTCCTACATAAGATTCAAGGAAACTCTTTCAGTGGTGGAGCGAAATGCCAAACTACATAAAGACTATAACCTGTTAGACGATATGAATTGAACATTTAGTTAAAAACAGATAAGAGTCATGCCCTTTTTTATGGATCGGTGACTGATATCAATAGCTGTTGGCCACTGAGACCAAACAAACCTAATCACAGAACATTATGAAATTGTCAATTTTTGAAACTATGTTTTTGAATACCAAACAAATACATGATTTATATGACTAATAATCTTATATTAGTGGGACCACCAAAAATAGTAGAATCATTTAACACTAGTAATTAGAAGTGTGTGCCGGTCAAGTTAGGATACATGTTAATAATTCTTTGATTCTGTTTTAGATCACTTTTCGTGCGCGTTAAATTTTTCAAGAGGATCACACATGAACTTCCTTTACGTAGATGTTGACATCAGGTGTCTTCTGTAAGAATTAGAGGTAATTTTTTTATATTTCTTGTAACTAAATATGTATAATGGTTTGATAAAAATCAATTGGATAAAAAACGCAAGTAATACAAATTCAGGTGTCTTAGTTGAATTAGCCTGCTTTCCTGGGACGTCAGATCGATGGAGACTTTATCTACGAACAAAGTCATAATCGTTCATTAAATTTAAACCAACCTTTTGGTTTCATGGGATCTTATTTCATGTATTTTGCATTGAAGTCTACGTGTAATTTGCAATAATTACGTATAATATACAACATTTCAGTTTAGTATGTAAATAGATACCAAATAGATATAATTTAAAAGGCAATATTGGAATATCTTTGTAATTATAAACTCACAAAATCTAATTTTTAGATGATGTTTGCTCACTTGGACTTTGCTATTACAGGTTTTGAGTTGCTGTCATACCAAAGGTAGGAACTTTCCTTTTGTGTGCATTATATGTTCTGCCATCATTCATCGGATTGAGTCTCCGCTTCGCTGAAGAAATCCCCGTCGTTTAGTTTTAGGTGAATACAAAGAGGTTAGGGATGGTTAGAGTTATCACAGTTAATAAATTCATTTTATTAAAATTTTGATAAGATCAGGGATTTTCAGGTTTTTTTATTATACAGTGTTAGGTGAAATTTTACCTTATCTTCTCATGAATTGATTAGCCATAGGCTTTTAGAACAGATTAGGGATTTTCAGGTTTATTTATTAGATAGTGTTAGGTGAAATTTTACTATATTTTTTCATGAATAGGTTAGCCATAGGGTTTTAGAACGGATTGGAAATTGTTCTATTTCTTATTTAGATTAAAATTAAAAGATCAAAAGAAACTAAACTGTTTTTAATCAAGACATTAATACAAGACAATATTATTAAAGAAAGTAAATAAAAAACATATGGTTAAAAAATAATTAAATAATCATAGAGGTTGAACATCTTTCCCTTTGAGTTTTTTTTTTTTTTTTCTCAAAGTTTATTCAGGAAATCGTTTGGTTGGTCTTATAATTCTGCCTCTTGATGATTTTTTAATTGCAGCTTCTTGATTGGGAATTGTTGATCGTGAAAAAGATTTACTGTAATCTTGGGGTGTTCTAGATGGAGTAGTAGTTGCTTTTTCAGTAGTATTTGATAGGGACGAGTTGGTTTGAGTAACAGTAGTAAATGGCAGAGTATCTGGCATTGTATCTTTAATGGATAAAGGAATAGGATTGTTCGGTTTGGTTGTATTACCTTTGTAAGGCAAAAGGTGGTGTCGATTCCTTCTCAACGTAGTGTTTCCTGTCTTAACCCAGTATGACCTTGGCTCTTGTCCTAAGCTGATAATAATCCCCTCTCTTTTTAGGTCTTGGATCCATACTTTTTTACCTACAGGCAGCGATGGAAGTTCTTTTGTAGCGTAGCGCCTATCGTAGTTTCTCTTGTAAGATGCTCTGTAAGTATCTTCTTTTTCCTGTAGTTGGGAGAGATCGGGTTTGATTTCAAGTTTTTTAGGTAAAACAGGCAGATTATCTCGCAGTGATCTGTTGTATATTAGCTGAGCAGGACTGTATCCACTTGTGGATAGAGGTGTATTGCGGTAGGTTAGGAGGGCCAAATATGGGTCGTCTTTGTTTTTCTTTAGCACACTCTTCGCTATTTTGACTGCAGCTTCAGCTGCACCGTTACTTTGGTGGTAGCTTGGACTGCTCGTCACAAGTTTAAAGTTATAGCTTTGAGCAAACGTTTTGAATTCAGAGTTTTCAAGACCAGTGTATCTGGTAGCAAACTGTGTACCACAATCAGATCGTAGCTCAATTGGTATACCGTGACGGCAAAATACAGATTTACATTTTTCGATTATTTCAGCAGTTGACAGGTTTTTTAATGTAGCTATTTCAAAATAACGTGAAAAACAGTCAGTGATAACTACGAACCATGTCCCTTCAAGTTTAAAGAGATCAATCGCTGCCTTTTCCCAAGGACGAGATGGAAGCTCACTGGGCAAAAGGGGTTCATGATGTTGTGTTCTATGTTCAGTACATTTAGGACAATCATTAACAAATTTCTCAATGTCAAGTGACATTCCTGGCCACCACATACTATTGTTGGCTCTAAGTCGACATTTCGTTATGCCTAGGTGGCCTGTATGTATTCTTGTCAACATTTCTTGTCTAAGAGTTGTCGGGATTATGAGACGTTCTCCTCTAAGCAATAGTCCGTCACAAAAAGAGATTTCATCCCGAACTGTGAAGTATGGCTTAAGATTATCGGGAATCTTAGTTTTATCAGGCCATTCAGTTGAGCAGTAAGATTTAATTACCCTGAGTTCTGAGCTAGCCCGCTGTGCCGATGCAATTCTATCAAGAACCATGTCAGTTACATAGGCAATGTTTCTTGTTACTGTGTGGATGGCCAGTTCAACTTCCTCATCCAAATCATAACTCTCATTAGTTGCTACAGGGCTTCTTGAGAGACAATCAGCAGTTGCTAAATGTTTGCCAGGAGTATATGTAACATTGTAGGAATATCTCATCATTCGAAGTCTGAGCCTTTGAAGACGGGGTGTCATATCATTGACCTCTTTAGTAGTCAAAATACTTACTAAAGGTTTGTGATCTGTTTCCAACGTGATGTGCTTGCCCACAATATAGTCTTTAAACTTGTCACAGCTCCATGTTAGAGATAGAGCTTCTCGTTCAATGTCAGAGTAGTTTCGTTCGGTTTCGCTCAGAGTACGTGAAATATAAGAAATAGGTTTCCAATTTCCATCTGTTTGTTGTTGTAAAAGTACTCCACCCAAGCCTTGTGTTGATGAGTCAGCAGAAATCATAGTTGGTTTATCCTTGTCATAGAATGCTAGTTGAGGTGGAGATGCCAATAATTCTTTAAGTTCATCGAATGCTTTCTGTTGTTCAAACCCCCAACACCATTCGTTTTTTCTACTTAGAAGGTCGGTAATGGGTTTTAGTAATCTACTTTTGTTAGGTATGTATTTGCCAATAAAGTTAACCATGCCAAGTAACCTTTGTACACCCAAAATATCTGTTGGAGGTGCCATTTTTCTTATAGCTTCGACTTTCGTCTCATCGACTTTGATTCCTGATTCGGATAGATGGTGACCTAAGTAGGTTAAGGAGGTTTGAGAGAACAAACATTTGTCTCTGTTTAAGGTGAAGCCTGCACGTTCAAGTTTGGTAAGTACTTCTTCTAAGAAATAGTCATGTTCTTGTTGAGTTTTCCCCCAAACAATTATATCGTCCATGTGCGCAAGTGCATTCATTTGACCTTTAAGGGTTCGATTCACGCATTCCTGGAATACTTCTGGTGCAGATGTTATTCCAAAGGGTAGTTTCAGAAATTTAAAGCGTCCAAACGGTGTCAGGAACGTTGTCAAATCTTGGGATTCTTCGTCCAATGTGATCTGCCAGAATCCATTATTAGCATCCAATTTAGAGTAGCATTTTGCTTCTGAGATTTGGGCAAGTGTTATGTCGATGGGTTGAATAGGATAGTATCTTCGTTTGACGCATCTGTTTAATTTAGTAAGATCCACACAGATGCGAACTTTGTTAGAGTCCTTCTTTGGTACAACAACCATTGGAGAGCACCAGTCTGTGGCATGGTGTACCTCAGCAATCACCCCCATTGACACCATTCTTTCAAGCTCTTCTTTAGTAGATTCCCAAAGAGGAAGAGGAATCCGACGAGGTGTGTTGATTGCAAATGGATTGGCGTTATTTTTCAGTTCTACTTTGTATTTAACATCAATAGAACCTAAGCCTTCAAACAATTTAGGGTGTCTGTTATACCAGTCATTACAGGATGGCTGTATTTCATTGATTCGAGCAAGTAACTGCAATTTTTTTATTGCAGGTTTACCTAGAAGGGGTTGGGAAGTGCCCTTTGAAACATATATAGTCTCATAACATGTTTTGTGATTATGGGATAGTTTGACTGTAGCAGTTCCCAAAATTGACAAAGCTTGGCCATTTGCGCCGCTAAATGTTTTGGATGTGGGATTCAGTTTGATTTTCTTGTTCAATTTAATGTCGGAAGGCAAAATCGTAACGTCTGCTCCTGTATCAATTTTGAAAAGAACATCATCACTGTCGTTCATATTTAACACTACAGACCAAGGATCATCACGTACGGTTTTGTCAACAGAGCCAATTTGAGGGTCTATGTACTGAGAGCAAACATTTTCGGTGGGGTTTTCAAGGGGAGAATCATCATATTCAATTTGACTGACTTTGTTTGATTTGCAAACATTTGGGAAATGACCGACTTTTTTACAAAACCCACATTTGTATTGTTTAGCTGGACAGTTGAATCTTTTGTGTAAAACTGTCGAGCCACACCAAAAACATCTCTTTTCGACATTGGACAGGCTTTTATTGTCATTAATTGGCTTAAAGTATCGATTATTGTTTGATTTATCAGGAGAAATGTTTGATTTACTTAAATGTTGAGTGTTTTGGTTTATTAATGCTATGTCAGCCAAGTTTAGTGTTTGTTTCTGTCTTGTTAGTTCTTCAGATCTACGGATAGTGTTAATAGCTGTGTTAAGTTTTAATTCGGGTTCAAGTTGAAGACGATCACTTAGTGATTCGTCCTGCATACCAATAATCAAAACCATCAGAATCATCTCCTCTTCAATCTGACCCCAATCACAGTTTTTTGCATGATTGTGAAGGTCTGTGATGAAGTTCTCAATCGGCATGGAACCCTGTTTAAGTTTTAGAAACCTAGCCCGTTCAAAAATTAGGTTCTTTTTTGGAAGGAAATGATCGTCAAACTTCTTTAGAACAACTTTGTAATTAGATTTGTCATTGTCATTTAACCTGAATGAGTTAAGTATATCCTCTCCCTTTTCCCCCATACAGTATATAAGCATGTCAATCTGATGCTTACCAGAATGTAGAGCTAAATTGCTAAGGGAATAATACCTCTCAAAGCGAGTCTTCCATGTCTTCCAGTCGTGAGGATTGAAGGAAAAGGCTTCAGGAGGCTTAATGTTCAGGGATACGGGTTCTTCATTCGACTGCGCCATGTTCTATTTCTTATTTAGATTAAAATTAAAAGATCAAAAGAAACTAAACTGTTTTTAATCAAGACATTAATACAAGACAATATTATTAAAGAAAGTAAATAAAAAACATATGGTTAAAAAATAATTAAATAATCATAGAGGTTGAACAGAAATGTTTAGGTTTTTTAAAGTATATAGTGTTAGATCAAGTTTTACTATATCGTCTCATGAATAGATTAGCCATAGGCTTTAGGACAGAATAGGGATTTTCAGGTTCTTTTTATCAGATAGAGAGTTAGGAAGATAATTAAGATATTATTACAGTAGCTCACAAAGGCTTTATAGCTATGATAGGTTAGTGCCAGGCCATCCTCTACGAGACATCTTCGAGAGCAGATCTTCAAATTCAAGACGCTTAATTATTTGTTTGTTTTGTGTGTGTGTGTGTACTTTTATATTTATTTCCATGTCCAGTTTCAAATCAACTGATATTGTTGCACGAACATAGTGAGAAACGTTGATTTGACGCGATTTCAGATATGAGTCATAAAGTTGGATAGTTTGAGTTGATTGTTAGTATTAGTTAAAAGAACCAGAAGAAGAAGAAGATTAAGGAAATCACAAATAAAAAAATAGGGGTAAGTTGCGTAGTTTTTTGTAAATTCGAATTTTATTGATTCCTTAACAGTTGCATACTGTACATATATTTTTATTATTAGATATTGTTTTCCTTTAACTAGGTGTTATTAATACGCCTTCTTTAAGTTAAGGAATAATTGTAGGATATACATATATTTTGTATTAAGTTATTTATTAAGTAATTTTTCAGTAGCCTGGTAAAATTTTAAGAAGTTTAACCATGAAAAGCTATTATATAACTCTTATCTACTTAGGCAAAGCCAGTAATTAGGGAATTATTTACGCCTTCAGCAGATGGGGACATCAATTGACCAAAAAATATATATAAAATAGATTCCTATGGGATGTTTTGCATGATTAAACTTCTAAGATTCTTACCAGGGGTGGCAAGGAGGGATAAATGGGCTTCGACCCTCAAATTATTTCAAAACTCATATCGTGCGATATATTTCATAAAATTAAAATTTTTTTTCGAGTTTTTAAAACAGTTTTTGATTAGTAATACACTCCTTAAGCTTGTGTTACGGCCCTACCACAGTTCGGTAATATTGTGGTAGAAACAGGAGGCCCTCCAACTGAACATGGCCGAGGAGGCGCTTGTGGGTAGAGAGAAGAGGTAGATCAAAATAATTGTGTCTGGACCTCCTCTCCCTACCACGGGTGTCCTTTATCCAAAGTATCCCGTGAACCTTATTCCAACCCACTGACATGATTTCCTTACTTTCTTCTCTTGATCCTCCTAGCTTCCATAAAGGCATCGTCAGAGCTGTATTCGACTACCTAAGTAAGTATCTTATCTACTCTACAAACAGAAACAATACAAACTTAGTGTAAGTAGATAGCAGAAATTTACGATCTCAACCCATGGAATATTTAAAGTATCCAATTTTTCTGGGTCGTGTCCTATAAAACGTTAACGCTTGTGGATTTGTTACGAGGGGAACCGATGACCTGTAATCCGGCTGATTTCAAGCACTAAATTTATTGCAGACTCTAAAGTCTGATCATTTCAGAGTTGAGAAGGTATCGTACACCTCTTGTTGTTCATTCATAACTCTTCTGAGCCAAATGTTTCAGGAGAGTAGTTTACAGCAAACACAAGTTAAATGTAGACCAAATATTTATCAACAAAACTAGGCATGAATACAAAGTACAAAACATACAAAGTACAGGAACAAAATAATTACTTGTAGGTTCTTTTTCAGTTGATATACCTCTTGCCCTCTTCTATAAACTGTCTTTTAAGACTCTGTTTTAGATTTTACAATTGTTGTGAGCGACTAGTATGATCAGGGGAATTCGTAGAATCTGCTTCCTGACATCTTAGAACTTCCTATACAAAGGCGATGTGAGCTCTGCCTCCTCTGATAAATGCTAAGGTAATTTTGTTTGATTTTGAAGAATATTCCATTATAGAAAATGAGCTATAACCTTACCCTAAGTGTCGTGGTAAGACCTGGACCAGGGGCTGATTTACCTTTTTGTTTTTAGGTCCCCAGAGGCCAAAAACACCATCTGTTCAAATTTATCCATACATATTCATATACATGTCCATTAGTGCAATAACTTATGCAAAAATGATCGGATACTTCTAAAACTAGGTCCAAACTATTAAACGTATCGTGGAAACATGTTTATTCAAACGAGGTTGCAAACCAGTATGATCTGACAATGGGAACAGGAATATATAGGTCGTTTTATGGGATTAAGATAGGTTATTCCCATTTTTTACCCTAAAAATATACAATTTAGCAATTTATTTCTAAATCCTTTTATAGAGCTTAAAAACAGAGCATTAAGCGTTGTTTTACGCCTTACCGTTATGGAGAAAGTAAAAAAATTGTAAATTTAACATTTCTATGCTCATTGTTATGGGGAATAAAGTAAACTGCTGTAGTTTGCTTGTTTATGGATATATTGTAATACAATTTGACAAATCTTTGTATTTCATACTAATTAGCTATCAACGATTCAATTAAAAACACACCTCTGTAGCAGCAAAGCTAAGTGTTCATTAATATTAAGGTTATTTGAAAGGTAATAAATCTGGTAATTTTAAGTTAATATTTTAGTGGGAATCTAGATAGGTAAATGGAAATTGGCTTAGTCTACAGGTTTGCTACGGCAGAGGTATAATGATATTTAAAATTATTTTTAGATTACAAATCAGTCATAAACAGAAACGAATAATCAATATTGTAGTATAAAAGCAAGTGTGCTGTTTGTCTAACCTCTGGACGTGCATTGTTGCAGGCATATCACTGTGGTGTCTGTCAATCAACGCAACTGTAGCCTTCACTACGTCCATCTCCTTCAGCACTTTGGTGCTAGGTGAGTAGCCAACGTTTTATATCCTAAAAGAAACAAACAAATCAACAGCTGTTACGTACATTGACACTGTAAATGGTTTCTTAAGCTACTTAATATTAAGGTCATTTGCTTATTTTGTAGATAGGTTCTTGCTCCGTTGAGCTGATCTGTTTCCCGTATAATGTTCAAAGACTTGATTTAATCAACTTTACGTAAATAAATAAAAATGTCTTTCTTCTCAATAGAAGAATACATTCTTTATTCTGAATAGAAATCAAAGCTTTAAGACAATAAGGCTTGTCATAGTATTCAAAATGTTGTGAAAGAAGAATTACTACCTCCACGGTAGTACTTTTATATGTCAATGAATAAGTTTTTAGGTAAAAACCAAATTCAGCATTTTTATTCACTATTCACTATAAACACACCACACATTTAACTGCCAACAATATAAAACAGATTGCATCGTTCCACACAGGCGATTGAAAGCAAGTGCCTGTCAATTTGAGATAACTTTTACCAATTATTTTATACTGTTTTAGGTCTTTGTCTATAGTTTTAGAAAATGTTCTATAGTATATAAACAATAAATCAACACATTATTTGGTATTGAAAACTAGCAATTAAAATTACCTGACAGTTCACTTGTGTTGGCCCAGAAAAATCAGAAGAATCAATATGGTGAATGAATATATGGTTATTAAAATTCTAAACTAGGTTTATTTTACAAGAAATATTTATAAGCAAGTGTAATAATCATTTAACCTCCTGACGTACTTTGTTGCAGGCATATCATTGTGGTGTCTGTCAACCATAGCAAAAGTTTATCAAGGGAAATAACGGAACTGTAGCCTACACTACGTCAACCTCCTCCAACACTTAAATCGCAGGTGAATATCCTATGTTTGATATCCTAAGAGAAACAAATGGGTCAACAGTTGTTTCATACATTAACACTATAAAAAGTTTCATGAGCTACCCGATATTAAGTCATCATTTGATGGACAGGTTCTAGCCTTATTGAGCTGATAGACAACAGACAACATTCTTTATTATTATTTTCTCAACTTTGGTTGAGTAAACATTTTTAGTTGAACTGTTTAGCATATTTGGTTCAATGACGCTCTTGTCAGTGGTGGAGCAAAGTGCCATACTTCAAAAAGACTGTAACCTGTTCAACAATGTGGATAGAACATTTAGTTGAGATATGCTAGAATCAAACCCTCCTCCATGAATTGGCAAGGGACATTAATAGCTGATGCTGAAAACTGACGCCAAACAAACCTAATCATGGAACATGGTGGAAGCGTCAATTCTCTTTCACTATGTTTTTGAATACTACAAAAGTGGCTCTAAAGGTGGGATACATCAAAATTAAACACAGATAATTAAAATTAATTGCCACTCAAGCTAGTGTTTTTAATACTATGACAAGCCTAATCAAACCATAACTGTGGGACCACCAAAAAGTGTAGAATCATTAAACACTGGTATTTAAAATAAGTGGTGGTCTAGTTAGGATTCATTTTAACAATTCTTTGACACTGTTTTAGATCTTTCCAACTGAATTGGGTGTCAACTTTGGGGAGAAGATCGTCATAGAATGAATTACAACTTTAAGCCGGACTTGAACTCACAAAAAATGCTCACGTGGACTTCGCTATTTGCGGGTTTAGTGTTGCTGTCGTACCAAAGGTAGCAACATTCCTTTTGTGTGCATTATGTGTTCTGCCATCATTCATCGGATTGAGTCTTCGCTTCACTGAAGAAATCCCCGTCGTTTAGTTTTAGGTTATTACAAAGAGGTTAGGGATGGTTAGAGTTATCACAGATAACTAAATTCATTTTATTTATAATTTTAATTAGATCAGGGATTTTCACTTTTTTTACTATACAGTGTTAGGTGAAATTTTACTTTATCTTCTCATGAATTAATTAGCCATAAGCTTTTAGAACAGATTAGGGATTTTCAGGTTTATTTATTAAATAGTGTTAGGTGAAATTTTACTATATTTTTTTCATGAATAGGTTAGCCACAGGCTTTTTAGCAGGTTAGCCACAGGCTTTTTAGCACAGATAGGGAGAGAGGGTAGGCACAGATTGGATTTTTTAGGTTTTTTGAAGTATATAGTGTTAGGTAAAGTTTTACTATATCATCTCATGAATAGAATAGCCAAGTCCTAGGACAGAATAGGGATTTTCAGGTTCTTTTTATCAGATAGAGAGTTAGGAAGATAATTAAGATATTATTACAGTAGCCTACAACGGCTTTATAGATATGATAGGTTAGTGCCAGGCCATCCTCTAAGAGACATCTTCGAGAGCAGATCTTCAAATTCAAGACGCTTAATTATTTGTTTGTTGTGTGTGTGTGTACTTATATTTATTTCCATGTCCAATTTTAAATAATCTGATATTGTTGCACGAACATAGTGATGAACATTGATTTGACGCGATTTCAGATATGAGTCATAAAGTTGGATTGTTTGAGTTGATTGTTAATATTAGTTGAAATAACCAGAAGAAGAAGAAGATTAAGGAAATCACAAATAAAAAAAGGGGTAAGTTGTGTAGTTTTTAGTAAATTCCAATTTTATTGATTCCTCAAATGTTGCATACTGTACATATATTTTTATTATTAGATATTGTTTTTCTTTAACTAGGTGTTATTAATACGCCTTCTTTAAGTTAAGGAATAATTGTAGGATATACGTATATTTTGTATTAAGTTATTTATTAAGTAATTTTTCAGTAGCCTTATAAAATTTTAAGAAGTTTAACCATGAAAAGCCATTATATAACTCTTATCTACTTAGGCAAAGCCAGTAAATAGGGAATTATTTACGCCTTCAGCAGATGGGGACATCAATTGACCAAAAAATAGATGTAAAATAGATTCCTATGGGATGTTTTGCATGATTAAACTTCTAAGATTCTTACCAGGGGTGGCAAGGAGGGATAAATGGGCTTCGACCCTCAAATTATTTCAAAACTCATATAGTGCGATATATTTCATAAAATTAAAATTTTTTTTCGAGTTTTTAAAACAGTTTTTGATTAGTAATACACTCCTTAAGCTTGTGTTACGGCCCTACCACAGTTCGGTAATATTGTGGTAGAAACAGGAGGCCCTCCAACTGAACATGGCCGAGGAGGCGCTTGTGGGTAGAGAGAAGAGGTAGATCAAAATAATTGTGTCTGGACCTCCTCTCCCTACCACGGGTGTCCTTTATCCAAAGTATCCCGTGAACCTTATTCCAACCCACTGACATGATTTCCTTACTTTCTTCTCTTGATCCTACTAGCTTCCATAAAGGCATTGTCAGAGCTGTATTCGACTACCTAAGTAAGTATCTTATCTACTCTACAAACAGAAACAATACAAACTTAGTGTAAGTAGATAGCAGAAATTTACGATCTCAACCCATGGAATATTTAAAGTATCCAATTTTTCTGGGTCCTGTCCTATAAAACGTTAACGCTTGTGGATTTGTTACGAGGGGAACCGATGACCTGTAATCCGGCTGATTTCAAGCACTAAATTTATTGCAGACTCTAAAGTCTGATCATTTCAGAGTTGAGAAGGTATCGTACACCTCTTGTTGTTCATTCATAACTCTTCTGAGCCAAATGTTTCAGGAGAGTAGTTTACAGCAAACACAAGTTAAATGTAGACCAAATATTTATCAACAAAACTAGGCATGAATACAAAGTACAAAACATACAAAGTACAGGAACAAAATAATTACTTGTAGGTTCTTTTTCAGTTGATATACCTCTTGCCCTCTTCTATAAACTGTCTTTTAAGACTCTGTTTTAGATTTTACAATTGTTGTGAGCGACTAGTATGATCAGGGGAATTCGTAGAATCTGCTTCCTGACATCTTAGAACTTCCTATACAAAGGCGATGTGAGCTCTGCCTCCTCTGATAAATGCTAAGGTAATTTTGTTTGATTTTGAAGAATATTCCATTATAGAAAATGAGCTATAACCTTACCCTAAGTGTCGTGGTAAGACCTGGACCAGGGGCTGATTTACCTTTTTGTTTTTAGGTCCCCAGAGGCCAAAAACACCATCTGTTCAAATTTATCCATACATATTCATATACATGTCCATTAGTGCAATAACTTATGCAAAAATGATCGGATACTTCTAAAACTAGGTCCAAACTATTAAACGTATCGTGGAAACATGTTTATTCAAACGAGGTTGCAAACCAGTATGATCTGACAATGGGAACAGGAATATATAGGTCGTTTTATGGGATTAAGATAGGTTATTCCCATTTTTTACCCTAAAAATATACAATTTAGCAATTTATTTCTAAATCCTTTTATAGAGCTTAAAAACAGAGCATTAAGCGTTGTTTTACGCCTTACCGTTATGGAGAAAGTAAAAAAATTGTAAATTTAACATTTCTATGCTCATTGTTATGGGGAATAAAGTAAACTGCTGTAGTTTGCTTGTTTATGGATATATTGTAATACAATTTGACAAATCTTTGTATTTCATACTAATTAGCTATCAACGATTCAATTAAAAACACACCTCTGTAGCAGCAAAGCTAAGTGTTCATTAATATTAAGGTTATTTGAAAGGTAATAAATCTGGTAATTTTAAGTTAATATTTTAGTGGGAATCTAGATAGGTAAATGGAAATTGGCTTAGTCTACAGGTTTGCTACGGCAGAGGTATAATGATATTTAAAATTATTTTTAGATTACAAATCAGTCATAAACAGAAACGAATAATCAATATTGTAGTATAAAAGCAAGTGTGCTGTTTGTCTAACCTCTGGACGTGCATTGTTGCAGGCATATCACTGTGGTGTCTGTCAATCAACGCAACTGTAGCCTTCACTACGTCCATCTCCTTCAGCACTTTGGTGCTAGGTGAGTAGCCAACGTTTTATATCCTAAAAGAAACAAACAAATCAACAGCTGTTACGTACATTGACACTGTAAAAGGTTTCTTAAGCTACTTAATATTAAGGTCATTTGCTTATTTTGTAGATAGGTTCTTGCTCCGTTGAGCTGATCTGTTTCCCGTATAATGTTCAAAGACTTGATTTAATCAACTTTACGTAAATAAATAAAAATGTCTTTCTTCTCAATAGAAGAATACATTCTTTATTCTGAATAGAAATCAAAGCTTTAAGACAATAAGGCTTGTCATAGTATTCAAAATGTTGTGAAAGAAGAATTACTACCTCCACGGTAGTACTTTTATATGTCAATGAATAAGTTTTTAGGTAAAAACCAAATTCAGCATTTTTATTCACTATTCACTATAAACACACCACACATTTAACTGCCAACAATATAAAACAGATTGCATCGTTCCACACAGGCGATTGAAAGCAAGTGCCTGTCAATTTGAGATAACTTTTACCAATTATTTTATACTGTTTTAGATCTTTGTCTATAGTTTTAGAAAATGTTCTATAGTATATAAACAATAAATCAACACATTATTTGGTATTGAAAACTAGCAATTAAAATTACCTGACAGTTCACTTGTGTTGGCCCAGAAAAATCAGAAGAATCAATATGGTGAATGAATATATGGTTATTAAAATTCTAAACTAGGTTTATTTTACAAGAAATATTTATAAGCAAGTGTAATAATCATTTAACCTCCTGACGTACTTTGTTGCAGGCATATCATTGTGGTGTCTGTCAACCATAGCAAAAGTTTATCAAGGGAAATAACGGAACTGTAGCCTACACTACGTCAACCTCCTCCAACACTTAAATCGCAGGTGAATATCCTATGTTTGATATCCTAAGAGAAACAAATGGGTCAACAGTTGTTTCATACATTAACACTATAAAAAGTTTCATGAGCTACCCGATATTAAGTCATCATTTGATGGACAGGTTCTAGCCTTATTGAGCTGATAGACAACAGACAACATTCTTTATTATTATTTTCTCAACTTTGGTTGAGTAAACATTTTTAGTTGAACTGTTTAGCATATTTGGTTCAATGACGCTCTTGTCAGTGGTGGAGCAAAGTGCCATACTTCAAAAAGACTGTAACCTGTTCAACAATGTGGATAGAACATTTAGTTGAGATATGCTAGAATCAAACCCTCCTCCATGAATTGGCAAGGGACATTAATAGCTGATGCTGAAAACTGACGCCAAACAAACCTAATCATGGAACATGGTGGAAGCGTCAATTCTCTTTCACTATGTTTTTGAATACTACAAAAGTGGCTCTAAAGGTGGGATACATCAAAATTAAACACAGATAATTAAAATTAATTGCCACTCAAGCTAGTGTTTTTAATACTATGACAAGCCTAATCAAACCATAACTGTGAGACCACCAAAAAGTGTAGAATCATTAAACACAGGTAATTTAAAATAAGTGGCGGTCTAGTTAGGATTCATTTTAACAATTCTTTGACACTGTTTTAGATCTTTCCGACTGAATTGGGTGTCAACTTTTGGGAGAAGATCGTCATAGAATGAATTACAACTTTAAGCCGGACTTGAACTCACAAAAAATGCTCACGTGGACTTCGCTATTTGCGGGTTTAGTGTTGCTGTCGTACCAAAGGTAGCAACATTCCTTTTGTGTGCATTATGTGTTCTGACCTTCATCGGATTGAGTCTTCGCTTCGCTGAAGAAATCCCCGTCGTTTAGTTTTAGGTTATTACAAAGAGGTTAGGGATGGTTAGAGTTATCACAGATAACTAAATTCATTTTATTTATAATTTTAATTAGATCAGGGATTTTCACTTTTTTTACTATACAGTGTTAGGTGAAATTTTACTTTATCTTCTCATGAATTAATTAGCCATAAGCTTTTAGAACAGATTAGGGATTTTCAGGTTTATTTATTAAATAGTGTTAGGTGAAATTTTACTATATTTTTTCATGAATAGGTTAGCCATAGGGTTTTAGAATAGATTGGATTTTTTAAGGTTTTTTAAAGTATATAGTGTTAGGTCAAGTTTTACTATATCATCTCATGAATAGAATAGCCATAAGTCCTAGGACAGAATAGGGAGTTTCAGGTTCTTTTTATCAGATAGAGAGTTAGGAAGATAATTAAGATATTATTACAGTAGCCTACAACGGCTTTATAGCTATGATAGGTTAGTGCCAGGCCATCCTCTACGAGACATCTTCGAGAGCAGATCTTCAAATTCAAGACGCTTAATTATTTGTTTGTTTTGTGTGTGTGTACATATATTTATTTCCATGTCCAATTTTAAATAATCTGATATTGTTGCACAAACATTGTGATGAACGTCACTTTACGCGATTTCAGATGTAAGTTATAAAGATAGATGGTTTGTGTTGATTGTTAATATTAGTTTGAAAAAAACCAGAAGAAGAAGAGGAAGGAAATCACACATAAAAAGTTACTGGTAAGTTGTGTAGTTATTTAAGATAACTTAATTTATTTTTGTCCGATTTTGATAAAATTTGGTTTGAAGGTGTAAGGCGGGATAAACTTGAACCAGTTCGCTAACCAGCATGATCGGACTATGGGAACGGGGGTTTACGGGGGGTTTTGTGGTGTAAAAAGAGGTTTTTCCCATTTTTGACCCAAAAAACATCAAATTTAGCAATTTATTTCCAGACCATTTTGTGGAGCTTAAAAAAAAAATAATTTAGTATATTGAAGTGTTATTTATCATGATTGATTCGTAGCAAACGGATTTATGTTTAACTTAATAATAACAACTTACGTCAATCAATCCAGTATGTTTATGGAGGACGCACGTTTCGACCTTTAGGTCATCTTCTGCTCCGCTTTTTCACTAGGTTGTTACGTACTTAGTTGCATTGTTGGTGTAGCAACCGCGTCAAATAATTTACATTGTGAAACATAGTCAGACCACGTAAACATAAAAACACAAAACACGACATTGACGAATACGAAAACATTTAAAATACTATGACCGTGCGCACGGCTGAACGGGCTCGGGCAAACCTAGTGAAAAAGTGAAAAAAAAAGTGAAAAAAAAGTGAAAAACCTAGCGAACCTAGTGAAAAAGCGGAGCAGAAGATGACCTAAAGGTCGAAACGTGCGTCCTCCATAAACATACTGGATTGATTGACGTAAGTTGTTATTATGAAGTGTTATTATGCGCCTAATGGTTACGGAGAAAATTCCAAAAAAATGTAAATTTAAAGTTCCCATGTTATTCTTATAGAGAACAAGTCAAGTAAACTGTTGTAGTTTGCTTGTTAATGAACATATTTTGATCAAATTTGGAAAATGTTTTTATTTCTTACTATTAACTATTAACATTTTACAAAAAAAAAAAACAGTTTTGCCTTCCCTGATGCAGCAAACCTAAGTACTTGTTAAACTAATTCTATTTAAATAGGAAATAAATTTTATATTTTTAAGTAGACATTTTAGTGTAAATCCAATCAGGCAAATGGAAATTCGCTTAGTCTGCAGGTTTGCTGTGGCGGGGGTACTATTTGATATTGTTTTCCTTAAACTAGGCGTTATTGATACGCCTTTTTTAAGTTTATTTTGTATTAAGTTATTTATTAAGTCATTTTTCAGTAGCCTGGTAAAATTGTAATATCCAGTTTCAAATCATCTGATACTGTTGCACGGACATGGTGATGAACATTGATTTGACGCGATTTCAGATATGAGTCATAAAGTTGGATAGTTTGAGTTAATTGTTAATATTAGTTGAAAGAACCAGAAGAAGAAGAAGAAGATTAAGGAAATCACAAATAAAAAAAGTGGTAAGTTTTGTGTAGTTTTTCGTAAATTCCAATTTTATTGATTCCTCAAATGTTGCATACTGTACATATATTTTTATTATTAGATATTGTTTTTCTTTAACTAGGTGTTATTAATACGCCTTCTTTAAGTTAAGGAATAATTGTAGGATATACATATATTTTGTATTAAGTTATTGATTAAGTAATTTTTCAGTAGCCTGGTAAAATTTTAAGAAGTTTAACCATGAAAAGCCATTATATAACTCTTATCTACTTAGGCAAAGCCAGTAAATGGGGAATTATTTACGCCTTCAGCAGATGGGGACATCAATTGACCAAAAAATATATATAAAATAGATTCCTATGGGATATTTTGCATGATTAAACTTCTAAGATTCTTACCAGGGGTGGCAAGGAGGGATAAATGGGCTTCGACCCTCAAATTATTTCAAAACTCATATCGTGCGATATATTTCATAAAATTAAATTTTTTTTTCGAGTTTTGAAAACAGTTTTTGATTAGTAATACACTCCTTAAGCTTGTGTTACGGCCCTACCACAGTTCGGTAATATTGTGGTAGAAACAGGAGGCCCTCCAACTGAACATGGCCGAGGAGGCGCTTGTGGGTAGAGAGAAGAGGTAGATCAAAATAATTGTGTCTGGACCTCCTCTCCCTACCACGGGTGTCCTTTATCCAAAGTATCCCGTGAACCTTATTCCAACCCACTGACATGATTTCCTTACTTTCTTCTCTTGATCCTCCTAGCTTCCATAAAGGCATCGTCAGAGCTGTATTCGACTACCTAAGTAAGTATCTTATCTACTCTACAAACAGAAACAGTAATACAAACTTAGTGTAAGTAGATAGCAGAAATTTACGATCTCAACCCATGGAATATTTAAAGTATCCAATTTTTCTGGGTCCTGTCCTATAAAACGTTAACGCTTGTGGATTTGTTACGAGGGGAACCGATGACCTGTAATCCGGCTGATTTCAAGCACTAAATTTATTGCAGACTCTAAAGTCTGATCATTTCAGAGTTGAGAAGGTATCGTACACCTCTTGTTGTTCATTCATAACTCTTCTGAGCCAAATGTTTCAGGAGAGTAGTTTACAGCAAACACAAGTTAAATGTAGACCAAATATTTATCAACAAAACTAGGCATGAATACAAAGTACAAAACATACAAAGTACAGGAACAAAATAATTACTTGTAGGATCTTTTTCAGTTGATATACCCCTTGCCCTCTTCTATAAACTGTCTTTTAAGACTCTGTTTTAGATTTTACAATTGTTGTGAGCGACTAGTATGATCAGGAGAATTCGTAGAATCTGCTTCCTGACATCTTAGAACTTCCTATACAAAGGCGATGTGAGCTCTGCCTCCTCTGATAAATGCTAAGGTAATTTTGTTTGATTTTGAAGAATATTCCATTATAGAAAATGAGCTATAACCTTACCCTAAGTGTCGTGGTAAGACCTGGACCAGGGGCTGATTTACCTTTTTGTTTTTAGGTCCCCAGAGGCCAAAAACACCATCTGTTCAAATTTATCTATACATATTCATATACATGTCCATTAGTGCAATAACTTATGCAAAAATGATCGGATACTTCTAAAACTAGGTCCAAACTATTAAACGTATCGTGTAAACATGTTTATTCAAACGAGGTTGCAAACCAGTATGATCTGACAATGGGAACAGGAATGAATAGGTCGTTTTATGGGATTAAGATAGGTTATTCCCATTTTTACCCTAAAAATATACAATTTAGCAATTTATTTCTAAATCCTTTTATAGAGCTTAAAAACAGAGCATTAAGCGTTGTTTTACGCCTTACCGTTATGGAGAAAGTAAAAAAATTGTAAATTTAACATTTCTATGCTCATTGTTATGGGGAATAAAGTAAACTGCTGTAGTTTGCTTGTTTATGGATATATTGTAATACAATTTGACAAATCTTTGTATTTCATACTAATTAGCTATCAACGATTCAATTAAAAACACACCTCTGTAGCAGCAAAGCTAAGTGTTCATTAATATTAAGGTTATTTGAAAGGTAATAAATCTGGTAATTTTAAGTTAATATTTTAGTGGGAATCTAGATAGGTAAATGGAAATTGGCTTAGTCTACAGGTTTGCTACGGCAGAGGTATAATGATATTTAGAATTATTTTTAGATTACAAATCAGTCATAAACAGAAACGAATAATCAATATTGTAGTATAAAAGCAAGTGTGCTGTTTGTCTAACCTCTGGACGTGCATTGTTGCAGGCATATCACTGTGGTGTCTGTCAATCAACGCAACTGTAGCCTTCACTACGTCCATCTCCTTCAGCACTTTGGTGCTAGGTGAGTAGCCAACGTTTTATATCCTAAAAGAAACAAACAAATCAACAGCTGTTACGTACATTGAAACTGTAAAAGGTTTCTTAAGCTACTTAATATTAAGGTCATTTGCTTATTTTGTAGATAGGTTCTTGCTCCGTTGAGCTGATCTGTTTCCCGTATAATGTTCAAAGACTTGATTTAATCAACTTTAAGTAAATAAATAAAAATGTCTTTCTTCTCAAAAGAAGAATACATTCTTTATTCTGAATAGAAATCAAAGCTTTAAGACAATAAGGCTTGTCATAGTATTCAAAATGTTGTGAAAGAAGAATTACTACCTCCACGGTAGTACTTTTATATGTCAATGAATAAGTTTTTAGGTAAAAACCAAATTCAGCATTTTTATTCACTATTCACTATAAACACACCACACATTTAACTGCCAACAATATAAAACAGATTGCATCGTTCCACACAGGCGATTGAAAGCAAGTGCCTGTCAATTTGAGATAACTTTTACCAATTATTTTATAATGTTTTAGATCTTTGTCTATAGTTTTAGAAAATGTTCTATAGTATATAAACAATAAATCAACACATTATTTGGTATTGAAAACTAACAATTAAAATTACCTGACAGTTCACTAGTGTTGGCCCAGAAAAATCAGAAGAATCAATATATGGTGAAAGAATATATGGTTATTAAAATTCTAAACTAGGTTTATTTTCCAAGAAATATTTATAAGCAAGTGTAATAATCATTTAACCTCCTGACGTACTTTGTTGCAGGCTTATCATTGTGGTGTCTGTCAACCATAGCAAAAGTTTATCAAGGGAAATAACGGAATGGTAGCCTACACTACGTCAACCTCCTCCAACACTTAAATCGCAGGTGAATATCCTATGTTTGATATCCTAAGAGAAACAAATGGGTCAACAGTTGTTTCATACATTAACACTATAAAAAGTTTCATGAGCTACCCGATATTAAGTCATCATTTGATGGACAGGTTCTAGCCTTATTGAGCTGATAGACAACAGACAACATTCTTTATTATTATTTTCTCAACTTTGGTTGAGTAAACATTTTTAGTTGAACTGTTTAGCATATTTGGTTCAATGACGCTCTTGTCAGTGGTGGAGCAAAGTGCCATACTTCAAAAAGACTGTAACCTGTTCAACAATGTGGATAGAACATTTAGTTGAGATATGCTAGAATCAAACCCTCCTCCATGAATTGGCAAGGGACATTAATAGCTAATGCTGAAAACTGACGCCAAACAAACCTAATCATGGAACAAGGTGGAAGCGTCAATTCTCTTTCACTATGTTTTTGAATACTACAAAAGTGGCTCTAAAGGTGGGATACATCAAAATTAAACACAGATAATTAAAATTAATTGCCACTCAAGCTAGTGTTTTTAATACTATGACAAGGCTAATCAAACCATAACTGTGGGACCACCAAAAAGTGTAGAATCATTAAACACAGGTAATCTATACTATTATAAAGAAGAGGTGGTGTCTGTGTGTGTGTTTGTATGAGCTAATCTCAAAAACTACTGGTCGGATCGGGATGAAATTTGGCATGATGATAGCTCACATTCCCGATTAACATATAGGCATATTTTTATCCCAAAAATCCTTCGGGGCTCCGCCCCAGTGGCTCTGGAGATTCCCATGTTAACCTTATGAGAAATGGAATTAATGAATCTTAACAGCTGTTCCAATTAAACAAGTTGGTTCTGTTCTATGATGTTCAATAGCATTAAAAGTTACAAGGATTACCAACAGGGTGCAGCACTAGCACTATTATTTCTTTTACATTTATGACAACAGCAAAAGGTGAGTGAGCGTAGCGAACGAACTTCAACCTGGAGGCGAGTGAGCGTAGCGAACTAGCTAACCTGAAGGCAAGTGAGCGTAGCGAACGAGCTAACCTGAAGGAAAGTGAGCGCAGCGAACGAGCTCCAACCTAAAGGTGAGTGAGCGTAGCGAACGAACTTCAAAAAGAACCGAAATTTCTTAAACCATGTCCTCACTCATAACTGCTATAAGCATTTGATACTTATATGCCAACCCCGTACGAAGGACGGGTACTCTGCTAGTTTAAAATAAGTGGCGGTCTAGTTAGGATTCATTTTAACAATTCTTTGACACTGTTTTAGATCTTTCCGACTGAATTGGGTGTCAACTTTTGGGAGAAGATCGTCATAGAATGAATTACAACTTTAAGCCGGACTTGAACTCACAAAAAATGCTCACGTGGACTTCGCTATTTGCGGGTTTAGTGTTGCTGTCGTACCAAAGGTAGCAACATTCCTTTTGTGTGCATTATGTGTTCTGACCTTCATCGGATTGAGTCTTCGCTTCGCTGAAGAAATCCCCGTCGTTTAGTTTTAGGTTATTACAAAGAGGTTAGGGATGGTTAGAGTTATCACAGATAACTAAATTCATTTTATTTATAATTTTAATTAGATCAGGGATTTTCACTTTTTTTACTATACAGTGTTAGGTGAAATTTTACTTTATCTTCTCATGAATTAATTAGCCATAAGCTTTTAGAACAGATTAGGGATTTTCAGGTTTATTTATTAAATAGTGTTAGGTGAAATTTTACTATATTTTTTCATGAATAGGTTAGCCATAGGGTTTTAGAATAGATTGGATTTTTTTAGGTTTTTTAAAGTATATAGTGTTAGGTCAAGTTTTACTATATCATCACATGAATAGAATAGCCATAAGCCCTAGGACAGAATAGGGATTTTCAGGTTCTTTTTATCAGATAGAGAGTTAGGAAGATAATTAAGATATTATTACAGTAGCCTACAAAGGCTTTATAGCTATGACAGGTTAGTGCCAGGCCATCCTCTACGAGACATCTTCGAGAGCAGATCTTCAAATTCAAGACGCTTAATTATTTGTTTGTTTTGTGTGTGTGTGTGTACTTATATTTATTTCCATGTCCAATTTTAAATAATCTGATATTGTTGCACGAACATAGTGATGAACGTCACTTTACGCGATTTCAGATATAAGTTATAAAGATGGATGGTTTGTGTTGATTGTTAATATTAGTTAAAAAAAAAACCAGAAGAAGAAGAAGAGGAAGAAAATCACACATAAAAAGTTACTGGTAAGTTGTGTAGTTATTCAAAAGTTCAAATTTTATTGATTCCCAAAATATGTAGCATACTGTACATATATTTTAGCGAATTTCCCTATAGGGAAGTAGCTATTACCGTAGGTCTCATGGTAAGACCGGGACCGATTTTCTTTTTCATTTTGATGTCCTCAGAGGCCAAAAACACCATTCGTTCAAATTTTTATATATCTATATATGGATATATATAATTATAGGCTATATGTGTCCATCCGCACGATAACTTGAGTAATTTTTGTCCAATTTTGATAAAATTTGGTTTGAAGGTGTAAGGCGGGATAAACTTGAACCAGTTTGCGAACCAGCATGATCGGACTATGGGAAGGGGGGTTTACGGGGGTTTTTTTTTTGTGTAAAAAGAGGTTTTTCCCATTTTTGACCCAAAACACATAAAATTTAGCAATTTCTTTCCAGACCATTTTGTAGAGCTTAAACAAACAAATAATTTAGTATGGTATATTGAAGTGTTATTATGTGCCTAATGGTTAGGGAGAAAATTCAAAAAAATTTCAATTTAAATTTCCCATGTTATTCTTAGGCTAGGGCCACATTTGGCGACTTTGTCGCGGCGACTTTTTTTCCCGCGACTTTGTCGCGACGACAAAGTCGATGGGGGTGGCCACAATAGGCGACAATTTTGAACTTTCAGTTTACTTTTTTACCATACCAGTAAAATAGAGTTTTGAGATGTTATATTGTATTTTCAAAATCGTGTCATTGATTATGGAAATAAAATAGGATCTATGACCGTTTTTGTATGTTTTTTCACCACCTTAGAATAAATCGATGTTTTTACTATTAATTGCAGTACCATAAGATTTAATTGAATCTTCTACAAATTAATTAAATCATATCGTTATAGTATTTTCATACGTGCACCGGCGCCTCTTTATATTTCGTACTAGGTCACGTAATAGTTTGTAACCATTTGCCTGCAACAAAATAAATAGAATTTTTACTAAATTAATGTGTTAAACTATGTTTTGAAATCCAATGTGGACGTCTACGTCGTCAAATCACAGTTTAATACTTGCTGTTGCTATTAATTTTATATCTAAATACCCCCGCCGCAACAAACCTGCAGACTAAGCGAATTTGTTTGGCTAGATTTCCACTAAAATATTCACTTTAAGCTTGTTGGATTTATTTCCTATTTAAATAAGATGAATTTAAATTAATGCTTAGGTTTGCTGTGACAAATAAGGTAACCTAATGAGGTGTGCTTATTAATTTAAATTTTGATGGCTTGGTATGAAATTAAAAATATTTATTAAAATATTGTTATAATTTATGAAAATATATCCATAAACAAGCAAACTAAAACAGTTTATTCTTTATCAAAATGGTCATTTTAAATTTACAATTGTTTAAATTATCTCCGTAACCGTTAGGTTTACAACGCCTCAATTAACAAAATCATTTTTTTTAGCTCAACAAAACAGTTTTGAAGGAAATTGTGAAATTTATGTTCAAGGTTCAAAAATAAGAAAAACAATTTTATACCCCATTAAAGCCCCTTAAAACTCTCATTCCCATGGTCCGATCATTTTGATTTGCGAGCACGTTTGAATTAACGTTGGTTTTAACATTTGTACCAAATTCCACTAAAATCTCATCATTTTTGCTCTAGTTACCGCGCTAATTGGCACATAGACCTAAATGTATACACTGTATATGTATATACATACATATGTACTTATATATACGTATATATGAATTTGAACGGTGGAAGTTTTTGCCTCTTGGGACCTCAAAACGAAAAATTAAATCGGCCCCGGGTTTAGGTCTTACCATGCAACCTAAGGTGCTTATTCCCTATAGCGAAAATTCGCTATAAGGAAGAGAAAACACAGGTATGGAGTGAATTCCTTAAAACTATCG